ATTATAGTTCCGCAAGTTATATATAAAGAAAGTATAGTTAATATTGCACAATCTCTAGCTAACCTACTATTAACTATTAACATAGGAATTGATTATTTATGCATATGTATTATTTGTAATATTAATAAGTACTTTATTTTTTATTATATCAACTTCTGTATAATATATTTAATTAATAGTAATACAGGGCCGACATGCATTTCAAAGTCTGGTTTTTACAGGGTTACAGATAACCACCGATGTGCTTGCGACAAATAGTCTGCAATATACCCTTTTTACTTGATTTATTTTACTAATGGATTCTTAATAGATATTAATGCTATTTTATCTAGGACTAATAATAAATAGGTGAAACGTGCATGCCTCCTAAATATCTATATTAGACTGTATTTTGCCGATTACACGGCTGAATATGGAAGTCCCATGAATTGTAATGTTTTAGGTGGGGAACAAAAACATAAGTATGGTCGCTATTATTTTATAATACTATTATATAATAATACTAATAATATTTATATACAGGGTCTTTAAGAACTGGGCGGATTGTGCGGCTCCAAGTAACCTTATAGCCTATTTATTTAAGAAGGATCGTTTGCGACAATCCTTGCGATTGGGGATTTCTGGGTCGTGGAGTTATTAGCAGCCAGTTCTATACCAGCGACTTATAAAAATATTAATAACCTGTCCTTATTTAATTAACTTATTTATCTTGCTTAATAAGGAACTGCAATGTGGTGACACTAGCGATAAAAAATCCCTCTAAAATCAGGCAGTGAAAAATTTTGGCCAAGAAAATCTTATAGCCTTTGTTATAGACAACCTTAATATTTATATTCCCTCATCACTGTCCTTCGGAGATAATAATATCTTAGTTAATCGACTGCAAGATATATATATTAAAAAAGTACAGTGTATATACTACTGCTGCTGATTTTAACAGCTTACAGCTATCCCCATGTGTGAGATTTCACGATAAGTATGCTTGATACTGCCTATATTATAAAAAGCAACTACTTACACTATATAGAGCTATGGTATTTCATATATACAGACCTGGGATGTTTCTTTTTTATAAAGAGGCATATATACAGGTACTGTCATGTTTACGTTATTTGTTATTTAACAAGGAGTATTTCTTTGTCTTAGCTTGGTATCTTAAACGAGTGTCAGTTAATAGTATGGCAGAGGATAGTATTCTTTAACTTCCTTTCTACCGATGTACAGATAGATGGAGCCTTTTTACTATTCCAGATCTTATAGCAGACCCGGAGTTTTTATTGATGTAACATCCCCTCACGGTGTGCCTTAGTCAACATCTTAGTTTTTTTATACACTGTTCCTGGCGGATTAACTATGTATGATTCATTACTTTTTATATACTATATCTACTATAGAAAAGGCTCTTTCAACCCCTATATATATGCTATGGGTGAAATAGACAATTTAATACAGTGTTAAGATAATTCAATATTAGTAGTACAATAAATATAGAACTGGATTAATCTAATTATAGATAGTATCTACTATTTCTTATTCGATTGTACGATAGCAAGATACTAGTATTATAATAGATATAACAAGTATCTAACTATTTATAACTTACAAACCGTTGCATCTAGTTGTGAACTTCGAAGAGTTGTGGGTTTTATTGCTTGTTAATCCTGGTTTCCCTTGGTTGTAGCTGGTTGTCAGTAGTTGTGAGAAGTTGTGGGGGTTTAAACTGGTATGCAGTGGTTGGGAATGTATTCTTAGCTTATAATTGGACATGTCGTACCTTTTGTGGCAACCATGTCAAGGGCTGAACCCATAGAACCTACAAGATAGGTTATGTACAAGAAGGAATCGTTGAAGAAGGGAAGAAAGGAAGAAAGGAAGAGGAAACAAGCGGTAAACAAACAAGGTGGGGAGTCACGTGACATCGATCGAGGGCCAATGGGCCAAAAGGGTCAGTAGGGACAGTAGGGACAGTAGGGACAGTAGGGACAGTAGGGACAGTAGGGACAGTAGGGACAGTAGGGACAGTAGGGACAGTAGGGACAATAGGGACAATAGGGACAATAGGGACAACGGGGACAATAGGGACAATAGGGACAACGGGGACAGTAGGGACATTGGCCCGAGAGGTCAAACGGGCTCTAGCCCTTTACAAACCATTCCACAACCCTTTTAAATGGGATTATATAATTACATACCTTTCCCCACAGTCGCCAACCCTTCGACACTGTCGCACCAAAAAAAGGGTGGGCATGTAAGTATATCTTATAAAATATGGTATTTATGCTTTGTTCACTTTAATACCAACTGCCAACCTGTAAGATATATGGAGTCTAAGAGCAGGATAACTAGACCTCGAAATGGGGCGGATCCGGATCCAACTTTTGGATCCTGATCCTGATCCGCCGGATTTCGGATCGAATAATTCGATCCGGATCCGCACCGCGGTTCTACGCAGGGCGGATCAGGATCAATCCATTTAGATCCTGATTTACATAAATTTGCCAAGACTTTCCTTTTTGGCTGTATAAAATAATGATTTATCTAAATAAATTACTGTTAACTATATACACCTGTTCTGGTCAGTACATTCACACCTCTTAAGATGTAGCCATTTCTTAATTGAAATTTTCCGTTTTAAACCTGTATATAAATTATTTTGCCTTATCGAATATAAATAATACCAGTCTTATTATTATTTTAGCACTTGGTTGTTAGTGACTCATTAAGGTAAAGTTTAGGTGCTGTAATAGGGTGGGAATATATAATATTCTCACAGTATATCACGGACCTGATCTTGCTATAATATGGTCAGCTTGATAACTATTTAGTTATTAATTTACACCTTTTAGCTGTGGCGTAGTGGTAAGCTCAGCACTACTACACTGTTGGACTCAGGTCCTCACACAGTAGTACTATCATGATCTTTTTTTGTTCTTAAAAAAAGGCTCCTACTAAAAAAACCTATTAAGCTAGTCTACAAAGCATACTTTGGATGAAAGACTTAGGCAAATTCAAGCCTGCTTAAAGGATTCAGGGGGCGAGGCGGATCAGTGAGGATTTCCCCGGGGCGGATCAGGATCAATCCGTTGAGATCCGTTTTTCCGTGGGTCCTTTCAGCTTTTAAAGCCAATTATATAGTAAAGAGATAGGTCCTCTAATTTATATTGTAATAGATATATTTACAACTTTGCTTAGCTCGCGCTCCTAGTCGTGTTTTTTTAATTTTCCTATTTTCTTACTTTTTTTCTCCCTGTAAGTCTCATTCTTTCTCTTTTATTAAAGTTGGTAGTAAGGCTTATTTACTATGTCACAAAGTTAAGCTTCTTAATTCTCGGATACCTACTCTTTATCTCTTTTTAAGGATAATACTCTAGATAACCTTTTATATCTTCCTTCTGACGGGGCAACATCTTTTACCCCTAAAGCTTTATTCCAGCAGACATCTACCTCTACACCCGATGGTGAATTCGCTTGACTATTAATACCACCCCCTGTTCCACAGACCCTAGAACGCGTTGGGCCCACGGCAAAACAGAAGCCCTTTATACTCTGGACCGAGGAGATGAATAATGAATTCTGTGGATAGTGGTTAATAACAGAGTATAAAAGTTAGATAAAAAGGAATATTTTTAAAAAACAATGCCAAGCAGACTGTTGGAAATACTTTTATCAGGTTGCTACTATTCAAGATAGGTCTCCTAAGGTTATGTGTAAAGTATGCAGTTAGGTTATTATTTACCTAGTAGTTAAAAATCGCGGAACATCCTCCCTGAATAAACATGTCAGAGAGGGTGTTAATTACCGAAGATTAAAATCCTTATAGGATATTTAAAAGCTTTTTCAATTAGGGGTATGTTAGAAATTATTTTATTATATTTATTTTTTTTTTAAATCCCTAATAAAAATTAATTTATCTTAGGTATTCCATAGCCCTCAAACAGAGAACTTTACCCTCGAGGAGTTTAATAAGAGTGTGATTTCTCTAATTACTAAGTTATAACTACTATTTTAGTTTGTTAAACATCCTTAATTTTATAAACTATTATTATTATTATTATTATTCTTCCATATTATAGAGCATTTTTCAGTCAGAGACTATGCATGCTCTACCTACCACCCCTGGGTGGTAGGATTTAAACTAACAAACAGATACGTACATAGTGGGTAAAATCAAACATAACTAAGCAATATGACATTCTAGGGGTGGGGGGGACCTTAAGGAAAGAGTTAAAACATGCTAATTTCCACTGTTTTTATTTTTATTTTTGCTTTTTCTTTTTGTTTTCCCTATGGATCCAAGAGCCACTTTCTAGTGGCGATCCCGCTTTCCTTTAGGAATTTGATCAGTTGTTCTTGCCCTGCTTTCTTCGTGAAAAGATAAGGCAAATTTCGGTCTTTTTGTCTAGGGTCTCTATAGACCCTTTTCTGATGTCCCTGGTTGCCGGGCACTGGAGGAGTAGGTGGTATGGAGTTTGAGGTTTATTGCTGTGGCATGACGTGCATATATCACTATTATAGTTAGGTGTTCTAACTAAATATGATCTGAAGTAGCCGTGCCCTAGCTTTAATTGGATGATGGTTGACCAGGTCTGCTTGGGAAGCCTTAGGGGTTTGGCTTCCATGAAGCTATGGAATTAAAGCCCCTGTATTGATCACTTTTCTTAGTATTTTCCCATGCTTTATCCCAATCCTCAAGGCATTTCGCTTTGAGCTCTCGTTTAAGATGGCTAACTGAGATGGGGCACTTATGGTATTTACTTGTCCATTCTGCCCCATACTTAGCTGCTTCGTCAGCTTTAGCATTTCCAAAAATTCCTTGATGGCCCGGAACCCAGTGAATATGAATATTGATATTCTTATCCTTAATCCTAGTTGCCCATTTAGAGATTCTTTGGTGTGGCTCGTAGTTGGTGTCCGCTGATTGAAGCCTTTTAAGGCTGCTTGGCTGTCTGAAAAGATGTAGATATCTAAGGTTGGAATTTGAATAGTCTTAAATGCTTGTTTTAATGCTTTTGAATAGCAAATAGCTCCGCGTCGTAGACCTCGTATTCGTGACCTAGATTCCATGCCCAAGCCTTTTGATTTTGAGGATTATTTTCTTGGAGGAAGATTCCTGCTCCATTTTGACCGCTTTGCAGCTGGGATCCATCTGAATAAAAGATAATCTTGTGGTTGTCTCTACCAGCAAGCCATTGAGATATTAGCGCCTTGTGTTCCTGGGCTGTTTGCTCTTTTAGTTTGCTAGATATAGATATATCTATTATTTGGTTTAATGGCTGGGACCAGGGGGTAGGGTGTGATCTAGTGTCTGGAAGGTGCCTTTCCATGTTTTAAAAGAGAAAAGTGCTAGCAGTCGAATTAACTGGCTAGGGTGTTTTCTTTGTGTCTCTCTAGGATGGTATTCAGGGTCTTCTAGATCTAGCCGTCTAGGTTTCTCATTCCAGTCTAAAACCTTGATTGGTCAATGGCAAATTCCCCGGGTTTAGCATAAACGTGGTTGGAAGTCTGCTTTGGATTGCATGGGATTTTATAAAATAAGCAGTCCTAAGTACATAGTTTCTGCAGATTTTATTAAATCTAACTAATGGTGGGGGCAGGGATGCTTCTATTTCCATGGCCTGTATAGGCGATGTTTTAAAAGTCCCTAGAATTTTCCTTAGGGCTGTATTTTGCAGTTTCTGGTAGTGGTCTACTAGGTACTGTTGGCCTTTCCACCATAAAGGGACTCCATAGTCTGCAATAGACGAAATGCATGCTATATAGAGTTGTCTTATAGCTTGGAAGCTTAGCCCCTTTTCTGTATTTGAGAGCCTCGCTATTTGGTGAAATGCCCTAGTTGCAGCTGCAACTCGTATTTGCACGTGTTCTTTAAAAAGGAGTTTAGAATCTATGTAGATTCCTAGCCATTTTACCATAGGGCTTGGTTTAACTATGATATTATTATCTAGTTTAACCTGGATGTCTTGGTTTTCTTGGTCTGGTTGTTTAGAGCTAAAGTGAATAAGCTCTATTTTATCCTGGTCAAACTGGATATGGTCTTTGGCTCCTTTTTTTAAACATGGCGTTGGCTACCAGCTCTATTTGCCTGCAGTTATTCTCTAGGCTATTAGAGCTAATAGTAAGGCATATATCATCCATATAGCTAGCCTTTCGGGTATTTCCAAAGGCTTTCCTTGTATCACTATCTAGTTCCTCATACATTTCAAGCTGAAAGAGCTCTCTAATATATATAAGGAACAAGATGGGTGATATAGGTGATCCCTGGGGATCCCTACTTGCACTGGGGTCTCGTTGCTGGTTTCACCGTCAAAAGCTAGGAACACTTTCCTGTCCGACATAAAGGATTTGATCCACCGGATCAGGTTATGTGGAAGACCTAGTTTTAGACATATTCTAAGTAGCTGGTTGGTAGATACATGGTCAAAAGCTCCTTTTACATCTATAAAAAGAGCTGTAGTAACCATTTTTTATTATGTTTTGCCACCTCTATGTCATGGACTAAGGATAGTGCTATATCAATTGCTGATTTTCTTTTTCTTCCCCATTTTGGTCATGGTAAAGGATTGATTGCGGGAGTTCAGCTAGATAAGATAGCCTAGTTGCAATAATCTTCTCTACTACCTTGCCTAGGCAGTTAAGCAGGGAAATAACTCTGTAGGCCTTGGGCTTGGAGTAGTCCCTTTTAGCAGACGCGGATTTTTAAGAATAACCCCTTTGGCAGTTTTCCAACATTTGGGATGATAACCATTTCTAATTAGGGCTTTATAAAGCTCGTGGAATCTCGGAGCAATATTTTGGTAAGCCTTTTGAATAATTAAGAATGAGATGTCATCAGGTCCAGGAGCCTTTTTAGTAGAGCTACTAAAGATAGCAGTGTACACCTCGTTTTCCCTGGTTTCTGGCCAGTTGGTTGACTCTGCCTGGTTGGTTGGCCACTCAATGGGCTCAGCCTCCGGGGGGTTTTGAAACAGGGTGGAAAGAAATGCATGACATTTATCTTGAAAGGAGATTGCTTGCTTCTCTTGATTCTCTATAGAATAGGTCAAGATAGGCAGTTTTTGAACAGATCTCTTTTTAGTATAGCTAAAAGCTTTGAAAATCTCCCTGTTCCGAGCTTCTTCTAGGAATTTGTTCCAGCATGCGGATTTAGCTTGCTTAATCTCCCGGAAATATTGATTTTTAATCTCTAGAAGATTTTCGTAGAGCTCTGGACATGGGTTGTTTTTCCAAAGTTTTCTAGCTTTTCCAAGCTGTTTCCTTAGTATTTTAAGTTCCTTTGACCACCATGCTTTTGACTGGGCAGATGGTTTTCTTCTTGGGATACTAGCATCTGCAGCTATTTGAATTATTTCTTGCAGATTTAGAGCTGCGGTTTCTAGCTCTATATCGGTATTAAAGCTCCCCTGTCTGAATTCTTGGCTTGTATCTAGCTCGAGGATTTTCTTGCTGAATAATGCCCAATTTGCCATTTTTAGGTTATATGGTAAACTGACCAGGGGTTTTCAATTTCTTGTGTTTTTACTTCAACAGAATAAAGCAAAATTTCGTGGTCTGATCCCGAGGCGAGTTCTTGGTCAATTTCCCAATTTACTCTATATTGATTTAGACCTTTGGTAATAAAGGTTAAGTCAATAACAGAGACATTTCTCATTCCTTTTCTATGGCATGTTTGCAGGTCAGGTTTATTTAGCAGTTCACATTGATGTTCTTCAAGCCATTTAATCAAAGTATCAGCCCTGGTAGGTGATAATGTCTTTGAGTTCCACCAGCTATGGTGTGCATTAAAGTCCCCCTATTACTGCATGTGTGGAGGGGGTAACCCTAGCTAGGGCTCTTTCTATTGTCCACTCGGCACCTTCCTCTAGTGATTGCTCGTTATATATATTTATTAGCTGCAGATCTTGAATTTCTGCACCTAAGATATCTATTACCAGCAAATCACTATCAGTGCTAATATCGTTTCTTTGGCAATAATTAAACCTAGATAGCTTTCTATGGTAGATTGCTACTCTAGGTCTAACCTTGGTTTGCTCAGGGAGGATTGGGGTGTATGCTGGGTGGGATATAGTAAAGCTATTATCAGGCGCTATCCATGGTTCCTGGATGATAATAAAGTCGATATTAAGCTCCAGGCCTATTTCTAAGCAAGATAACATAGCATTCTGATTGCGTCCAGTATTATTTTGCAGGAAATAGATTCCTAAATCAGTGTTTTTCTGATTCATTAGTAATCTAATTCCATGTTACTGTTTGGGATTGGTCTTTCTGTAGGCCTAGGCCTTGGTTTTGGTTTGACTTTTTCCCATTCCTTGCTAGTTTTTGCTATCTGCTCTGTGGGCTTGACTGCAATTAGCGCATTTAACCTGTGTGTGGGGACATTCCTGGCTTTTTATTTCGCATGTGGAACATTCATGGTATTGGGTTTCATGCCTTTCTGCGCAAATAGCGCATTTTGGATTATTCTTGCAGTATTTGGCAATATGCTTGTATCCTTGGCATTTTTGGCATTGGGCAGTTTTCTCTATATATTTAGTAGCTCTACATAAAGCTCCTGCAACACAGAGTTGTATTTTTAATTGCCTTGGATGCCATGGCTTCATTCTGCACGTCCACTACAATAGAGGAGTGATTTTTGGTCTCGCGGACATGTTCTGGGGTCAGCCATGTTGGGGGCCTCATTAGTTTTAGACCTGGGTTAAAGATTTCGATCTCTTCCTTGAGCATCTGCATGCCTTCTTGGGTTTCAAAAAAGGCCTGGTGGGGACCATGTGAATAACTATTTTGCCCATGGTTCATCAAACATCCACCTAGTATAGGGGATAAGTGGTTTCCAGACATCCAGCTTCTCTATTAAATAAGGCGCCTGAATACCGTCCATTGTGGTGAGGATAAGGGTCCTTTTAGTAAAGGAAGTGCTTGCTGTCCTTACTATAGGTTTGTCTACCTTTTCTTTTATCTGGAACTGGTGGTTGATTTGGTTTCGGAGCTTTAAGGAGTCTAGGTCTTGTAGAAATTCTGCAGAAACCTCTAGATAAGCCTACTACCTTTGTAGGCGGCCTGTTCTACCCGTTTTGGCTGATCTTGTTTCTTGGTTGGGATAACTACTTGCGGTTTTATTCCTTTTTGGACTGCTGCTGCGTATGAAGGCTTTACTGGTTTTGCTTTGGTTGAGAAGAGGCTAGGGCTATTTTATCAAGTTTTTAATTAATAGTGTTAACCTCTTTCTGGAGTTTTTGAAGTTGATTGTCTTTGGAAAGCAGGGATCCTTTAGCTTCCGGATTTTGCAATTTGTCTTGGATAGCTGAGAGGCCCTCCAGATGCATATCTAGAGCTTCAAGGATCTTAGCATTTGCTAAACTATGGTGGATCTCTTGCAGTAAGATCTTTGCAGACTCAAGTTTTTGGATATAACTTTGTTTGGCATCACTTTCTATTTGTTTTTGCAGAGCTTTTTCCATCTCCTTTTATTAAGGAGCACCTCTTCATCTTCAGACATTTGACTTAATGACGCAAAGGAATTAGGGCTCTCAGGAGGAGAATTGGAATCAGGCCTAAACTCAAGTCTTGCCTTTGGGCTGATGAACGAGTGTTTTCTTTTGCCTTTGGTCCCTTTTTTTAGGGCTTGGTGGCTGCGATGGGTTGGGTGACGAGTCCCTAGGTGGGGTGGTTGGGTCTTCAAAGACCCCATTCTTCCCTCTGATAGACAAGGGAAAATAAAAGGAAAAAAAAAAAAAAAAAAAAATAAACAGGTGGAAAAGTAAACCAGGTAGGATCCTAAAACTTTACTAGCTAGGGATCTAGCTAGTAAGTAGAGATTTTAAAGGGAATCTCTAAACCACAAAAGCTTTTTAAAGGGAAGCTTCGAAAAACCAGTGTAAGCGTACTAGCTCAACTCCACTGTTCCCTATATCTCTGGTCCAGCACTAGTTTTCCTATACCTATCTAAGCTAAACAGCTTTAGAAAGATATTGCTAGGAGCCGTAGTACTGGGGATACAGCTCACAGTTTCTTCTTGCAAGTAAGCTTAGGCTTTCTACTAGTGAATTCTACAGGGCAGTCCAAGCTTCCTGTTTTTGGTGGAGTAAAACGCAGGAAAAAAATCTCACCCCTTTTTAAAGAGAAGTGGTAAACTAAAAGCACGGTTTTATTGTTTTTGCAGAATACCCGGCTAAAATAACTGCTATGGTATGCAGGGCAGCTAGGTCCCCACCTCTTATCCCTCTCCAGGACAGTGATGGTGTTATAGAGGCCTAGAGAACTATAACTAGTAGCGGCCCAAAAGTATCACAGGGATATCAAAATTTCAATCACATGTAATAGTAACAGGCTTATCTAGGAGTTCTTTGAACCCCCTAGTAGGTGCGGGATTAGGTATAAGTGTAAACTTATAGGGCTTTCCTTTCCTTGGTAGGGTGTTCCGCAGGGACCGTTCGAGCGTTGCGGTGTATTCGGGGTTGGTGTTGTTGGGGGGGGCTGTGGCGGGGGTGACGGTTGCGGGAGGCAGAACGCGGGAGCTGCGTTGTTGGTGGTGTTCGAGCGTTGCGGTATTGGTATTGGGAATTGTATTGGGGGCTTCGGTGGGGGTGGCGGTAACGGGAGGCAGAACACGGGAGCTGCGTTGTTGGTGGTGTTCGAGCGTTGCGGTATTGGTGTTGGGGGTTGGTGCTGGGGGCTTCGGTGGTGGGTGGCGGTAACGGGAGGCAGAACGCGGGAGCTGCGTTGTTGGTGGTTCCAGGCAGCCCGAGCTCGGGAGTGCGGGAACACGAAAAAAAATTTTCACACGAAAATCGCAGTCTTTTTCATCAAAACACGGAGCGCGATTGGACTGTTGTATCAAGAAAAGTGGAGAAGTGACTAAGCTTGAAAAGGGCTGTAAAACGATGTATGAATCAGTACCCAATACCCCCAAATGTGGGGGTTGGGTTGGAGGGTGCGTAGTTGTTTTAATTTTATAAACTAGTTAAATTGGCTAGTCTTACTTTATCTCCACCTCGGATTTTGTCTGCATATCTGGTACGGCAGAAGATTCAAGCAAAAGTATTAGAATATTAAAAAAGCCTTTTATAAATGCTTTTATTAGGTGCAAAACTTTTTATTATATTAGACTGCTAGACCTTACCCTTCCGCCAGGCCTTTATAGCTATTACTGGATATTTTATTAATATAGACTGGCACTACCGTGAGATCTTGCTTGGATTTAAGCCACTTTATAGAAGCTATAAAGGTGCTGACCTTAGTATTGTTCTCTTAGATCTTTTTAAAAAACATTAGATTAAAGATCGGGTTTTAACAATAACCACTAATAATGCATCAAATAATACTACACTTTATAATAGTATTAAAAAGGCACTTAATCTACTCGCGTTACCAGATGGCACCCCTATTATTCGAATACCCTGTATAGCACATGTTATCCAACTTAGTTTAAACAAGCTTCTTGGCAAGATAGAAGCAGTCCCAAAGAATAACCGAGAGGAAATGGAATAGAGAGAAACTAAAACCCGGAGTAAAGCTCAGGGGGAGAATAATAATATCATCCTTACTTTTAATAAGGTAAGAAAGCCCTTCTTGTATTTAATCTTATACTAATATTAACCTAGGTTCGGCGACTTGCAGTCTGGGTTAATAGAAGCCCTCAGCGCAGAGAGCAATTCCTCGAGCTCCAGTCCAAAGAACCAAGGCTTGTTCTGATGCAGGACGTTAAAACCCGCTGGAATTTAACCTTTTTAATGCTTCAGCGCGCTAAAAAGCTGCAAAATATCTGCGACAAGTACTGCTTTGAGTGTGGTCTCTTTAAGCTTGTGCTTAATAAAGATAAATGGAAGTAGATTAACTATCTTTTTTTTATTACACAGCCCTTCTTTAACTTTACAAGTGTTCTCTCCAAGACCAAGGATGTCACTATTTATATAGTCTTTAGTATCTATAATCAGCTATTTGATTATCTCGAGAAGTCTATAAACCAGCTTAGACAAAAAAAAGTAAAATGGCAGATAATAATACAAACTGCTCTTGAGTATGTAACATAGAAGCTAAGAGACTATTATGCAAAGACTAACAAGGCTTATAGTAATCTCTATACGATTGCTACTATTATAGCACCCTAGAACAAGCTTAATTTTTTCTCTAAGAAGGACTAGCAGGGCCCTTATCGCAAACAATACCGCGAGAGTCTTAAGAAATACCTTGAGCTATACAAGCAGTGTTACTTTAAAACACAGCCAGTATTACATGGGGTTTTTTCTATGGAGCAGTTCTCTATAGTTAATTAGATGGGTGACAGATAAAAAGCCCAGGGGTCTAAGATTAACTGAGATGATAAGCTTACATAATATCTTGGAAGTAGTAAGTAACTTATTAATATCTTTTATTATCTTTTACTAATCCTTTACTAGGTACTCGCAAGATTAACCCATGTATCTTTTGGAAGGGTAATTAATATAAGTTCCCAGTCCTTGCGAGCCTTGTACAGGATGTTCTTTCTGTTCCTGCGACTGGTTCTAGTGTTAAATAACTATTTAACACTGCTTGTGATATCTGTTATTACCGCTGAGGGTCTCTTAAATCAACAACTATCCAGGATTTTATGATATATTTATATATATTAAGATTTAATATTGAAAGTGAGCAGCATACTTTTATAAAAAAGTATCTTACAGCACAGGAGATACAAGCAGTAAAGGAGAAAAAGAAGACTAAGAGACTGGATAATAATATATTTAATCTAATTAGTGATACAGAAGAAGAGCCCTTAGCTAAGGCTTAACCATCGCAGCCCCAGAGCAGGGTTGTACTTGGTAAGAGACCTCTTAGAGATATTAGAGATACACCTCTAATTGAGCTGGGAGACGAGGATAAAGATGAAATCCCGCTACCTAATAATTTAAATCTACAGGATAAAAGTGGTACTTAGAGGCGTACATCAGGACGAGTTCCAAAGTGTTCAAAGCGGGATGATAGTGAATGGGAGTATATAAAACCTTAGATATAATTAAAGAGTTTTAAATTCGATTTCTATTTTATTAATATACTTTTTTGTCTAACCTGTAAGCTAAATACTTAAAAATACAGCCTAAATCTACATAAAATATGCATATCACGGGATTTCCTATGTTTATCCTATTTGTTAATCCGGCGGATCAATCCGCCCCGTACAGGGCGGATCAAAGACTTATAGAACCGCCCCGCGGACCGAAGAATTGGATCCGGATCCGCCCCAAAGGCGGATCGGGGCGGATCCGGATACAGATCAGAACGGATCCTTTCGAGGTCTAAGGATAACTATGCAATATCGCTCATCACACGGCCGGTTAGGTAGGGGACTGGACGAGGTAGTAGAACACTATGAGCTGTAGGGACAGTCGAATAGGGGACGGGGGCCCCCAGGGGCCGCCATCACGGCGGCCCTGGGGAGAGCTGAGGGAAGTCTATTGAGTCTTCTGAATGAATGTATTGCCTAAGCTATCCTTGATGAGTCCTCTGTCTCCCTGGTCTGCTACCTTAGGTAGCAGACCGCTATTTAACCTAATGTCTACCGAGGTCTTCCAGTGCACTGCCGTGGGATCCCATATCATACGATCTGGGATCGTATGATGTGGGATCGTGTCTTCGGAGTGCCTACGTGTTGGAGCCATATTCGTCAGGCACTATACATCTTAGTCATCCGGGATGACAACTATGTAAAGATCGCCAGAAGCTAAATTCAAGGCAATTTTAATTAAATTCCAGTGTGGTAATACTAATGGATATGAAGTGTTACTGTAGTAACTATAATACTTAAAGATTACAGGTAATTAAATAAATAATTCATCGAATTATACATCTTATTTGGGAAATTTATGCAAACGGGCAGGTCGTTGGCGGCCCGTGGGCGCCCGCCAAGAGCCCCTGGGTGGGTAGATAGTTGTTATGCGTGGGGGTCGGTAATGAGCTGAATGGGGCGCTACGGTGCGAAGGGGAGTGTCTATATGGGAGAGAAGATAGGACCACGTATATTGCAGAACTAATCGCTGGCCTTCAAGAGTTCAGGCCCGCGGGTGTGAATATAAACACTTCGCACCTGACTAAGCATCTTAGCTAAGGATCTAGCTATCGCGCTTCCGAGCGCTCCTAACAATAGTGACTCCAGCCCGCCCACGGGCTCTAATGGGCGGGGCCCTAAGTATCTCCTGCCCGCCCGCGGGCGGGCTGTGCCGAGGTCTACTTACAGATCTATAATTAGGGCTATCCATAACTTACCCGATCGGGAATTGTCCAAGGCATTTTCTTTGTTCTCCTCTTTTTTGTTTTTTCTTCTTTTTTTCTTTTTTAGTTTTTGTACTTATCTAAATTGTATTTGTCAGGATTTAATTGCATTTGTCAGCGCTGTTGTGTCGTTAGAAATCGAACTTGACCCCTGGCATATCTAGGCCGCCTTTTATCTTTTCTCAACGTTGCCATCCAAACCGCTAACAAGTTTACTATTGCTATCATGGCCAACACTATCTATCTTATTACTGGCGCCAACCGCGGAATTGGCCGTGGTCTGGCCAAGGTATTCCTCACTCGCTCCAACGCCACTGTTATCGCGGCTGTCCGCGACCCCGCTAATACTTTATCACTGTCCCTGCAATCCCTCCCCAAGGGCGAATCCTCTCGCCTGATTGTGGTAAAGGTTGACTCCAAGTCTCTTACAGACCCGGCCGCTGCCGTTCAGACCCTCCAGAGGGAGCACGGCATTAACCACCTGGACGTGGTAATCGCCAACGCCGGCATCAGCGAGGACTTCTCGCCCGTGCACGAGGTGCCTATCCCCGTGCTGCGCGAGCATATCGAAGTTAACAGCTACGGGCCTATCTACCTCTACCAAGCGATCTACCCGCTGCTTAAGAAGAGCGCGAAGCCCACATTTGTGGGAGTCGGCAGTCCACTGGGCAGCATTGGCGGCATGGAGCAGCGCCCGTACCCGTGTGCGGCGTACGGCCCCAGCAAGGCTATCCTGCACTGGATCGTACGCAAGATCCATTTCGAGAACGAGGACTTTGTGAGCTTCGTTGCGGATCCTGGGTAAGTGCCTGCGCGTTTCGAATGGTTGTTGCATTGCAGATATATTAATAAATACGCAGCTTCCCCCAAACCGATATGGGCAATGCCGGCGCCCAGGCTGTCGGCCTCGAGAAGGCCTTCCAGACGGTCGAGGAGAGCGTCGGCGGTATCGTGAAGGCGGTCGACGAGGGGACAAGGGAGTCGGTTGGTGGGCAGCTGCGCGTGTGGGATGGAACCCGGTTCCTGTGGTAAGGGGAAAAGTGTTAACCATCGTCGCATGTTACTTTATTTGCTTCCCTGACCTAAATCTCTCTTGCTCTTAGCTAGTCTTTTTTCTTTAGACATATCACACAGAGAGACTTCTTTTCTGATCTACCTTCTATTATAGACCCTATTAAAAGGACATGTAGAGACACAGCGATTCCGAATCAGACAAATAAAATGTCGACCAAAGTGGACCAATATTACCCATTATTCAGCATCCGCTCGGTCCGACTTTATTCCTTTGTTTTCACCTTTTTTCATCCAGCTCTCCCAGATAGATTCAGATAGACAAGAGACCTTAGAGACCTCATTTTTCTTCAATGCAGATCAATATTCTTATATAATCGGTGATACTAACGTATTTCACAACCGAGCGAGCCCCACAACCGAGCGAGCCACGTCTCCGGATCGGTGAAATGGAAGCTATTCAAAACATTAAAAAATCTGCATTTTGAGTATGAAAATTAATTACTACACCGATTAGGACATCCCATTAATTTTATAACCCAGAATACCACAGCCAGAACACTTCGGTGGCGCCCGTATGCGTCGCTTAATAGTAGATAGCTCTGCCTCTACTGGTATAGGATTTTAAGCTTTTTAAACCTGATTCCTACTTTAAAATTGTTCCTGGCCTTCCTGCATAGAAAGTCCCTCTGGAGCAGCTGTCTATTGCTTGGATAAAGTCTTTTTTTGACGCTTTTTCCCATTTCTCGCCTGTAAATCCTTATTCTCTTTAAGCGCTAAGGCTGTCTTATTTATAGACATTGCAAATCCTTTGGCAATCTTGTCCAGCCGTACTTGAGTGGTAGATAAAGAGATTTAGTCTGGATCTTCCAACATCTTTTTAATTACAGCTATCTGCTTGTCAAATCGCGCAGTTTGTAAGGAGTTTTGGATGCTAATTGGTTATCGCTGCCTGGAGGTTAGGAGTTTTAGCTGTATATTAAGCTGCTTAAATACACGCTCAGGATTAAATGGAACCAGGCCAGTTGCTGCAAAGCTATTTTTAATAGTATCCGGCTTGTATACCTCTGTACGCGCTTGCTGAAAGGCTTCAAAAAGTCATTTTTTAATATGATTAAAACCGAGCCGAGCTTGTTTTCCACCAGGCGCCCGTATACGCGCTTTAATGGTGCGAAACAGCCAAATAAGAGGTTGCAAGAGATGTGATGAATTCAGGCATGCAAATAGGAATAATATTATTCTACTGCATATCTGGTAAATTAGAGTTAAATACTTCCATGACATAAGTATCAGCAGGCGATATCGTCCAGTTGTACGGCTAGTTGTAGCAGGAATAAAAAGATTTTAAAGCCAGCGTAGTCCAATTTTATTAGTTGTCTATCTATTCTCACTAACTTTAAATCGCCAATCTACTGGTAGAGGTTGTTGATACCAACTCTTTATATAGACCTTTCCTTTAAAAATAATTACGCTGGCCGTTGGGAGGGGATTTTCCCTTGGGATTTCCCTCCCGAACGGGACCGGGACGGGAACGGGACCAATTTCAGGAAATTTATGGGAATTAGGGATCTTAGGGAATATCCCATTCCCTAGATCGGGATTCCCTCTAATTTCTATTCGGGAATGGGACGGGAAACGGGACCGAACTTATAGATGGGAAGGGAATGGGAATATCCCGATTCCTGGGAAAATCCCATGGGAATTTCCCTTATTTTAATCACGTGATAAATAACTACTTTATATTACTTCACATAGTAAAATTGCTTATTTTTATACTATATAAATTTTTAAACTATACCCTATTAGGAAGTGGGACGGGATTCGGGATTCTTTGTTAGGAAATGGGATGGGATTCGGGATCTTAGGTTAGGAAATGGGACGGGAAATGGGACCTAATTTCTAAAGTAAGTGGGAATGGGAATCTCCCATCCCGAATCCCTTCTAATGGGAATCCCTTCCCAAAAGTCTTGGCACGGGGTGGGAATCAAAATGTGATTCCCATGGGAATATGGGACGGGACTGAAACTCGCCCGGGATCCCGAATCCCGTCCCAACGGTCAGCCTAAAAATAATACATGGTAGTAAGGCCCAACCACTTGCATTAATACATTTAATAGATGTAACCCATTCTCAATTGCCTGGCTATATAAGAAATAGCTTTCCATGCATATCAGCCCTGGTAACTACTTTAGCAGTAGCTACCAGGCCCATTGCAAAAAGCCAGTTTTATTAAAATTGTAGATAACTTCTTGTGCAATTCCATGTTATATTATAGTGATTTGTACGCGATCAAACCACTCCCTAAGAAGCTTAGGATCCTCACATTTGGCACGCTGGTAATTATACCGTCGAGAATATCTTGATTTAAGCTTATCACGCCGTTTGATAAAGTTATATACCCAATTTACACCAACTGTCTAAATAGGTGTAGTACCACGGTTGGAAAGTAAAATATTAGCCATTTGTATATAAGATGGCCGGGGAGAAGCTCCACGTTGATCTAATGATAAGATCCATCGTACAAGTGATTCCTCTTTATTTTAAGTTATTTTATGACTATTCGCGCGTATATTTGCCCGGTGTAGACGTCTGTTTATTCAGTGTTGAAGAGTTGTGTGGGGCCTGCGGGGGACATTATAAACACGCGCAGCTTCACGAATATTGCTGATTTCTTTTTTTTTTAAAGCGGATACTGCTAATAAGATCCTCTTCTCTTTCTCAGCTAAATCTTTTGGATTTGTACGCGCTTTTGGAGGCATGGTTGGTGATTGAATTGCTTCAAATAATATGACGCGTAGAAATCCGGAGACGTGGCTTGCTCGGTTGTGGGGCTCGCTCGGTTGTGAAATACGTTAGCTCATACGCGTATTCAGCTTACCGACACTAACTAACTAGTTACTAAGAACTAGCTTACATAAATGATGATTAAGCGAGGTCGAACCGGGGGCAGGCGCCCATGTATGGCCGTATGCTCCAACAGTGCGCTGCAGCCAGGTGCTAGTTTTAACCATTTTTCTCCTATAATAATACTTGCCCACCATGGATAATTCATATACCGCTATAGAGAGCCGTATCTCCGAGGCGATTAAAAGTGTAAAGGGTATAAAGAAATCCAAAATAGATGAGTTGGCGCGTGTTTTCAATGTGCCATACGATCGGCCTCGGCGACGCTTTCAGGTAGACCATCACGGCCAGACCTCCCAGTGCTTAACCGTGCTCTTGATGAAGCTCAAGAAGAAGCTCTGGTTAGATGGATACGCCGTCTTGATAATCTTTATATCCCTTCTACCACGAAGCTTATCGACCAGGGCGCAAATAATATATTAAGTTGAATCGCAGTCGATAAAAATACGCGTTCCGCGGTTGGCACAACATGGGTTTATCGATTTATTAAACGGCCACAAGTGACCAACGGGGAAGTGTCTAGATTATTCTTCGCCTTGAAGTACCAGTAAAATGTGTTGACCCGATAGTCATGCTCGACATCTTTCATGGAATGTGGAGGGAAGACAGCGTAGCCGGCGGAGGTGGCGTTTTCACAGATTTCTCTCTAATAAGAAACTTTGTTAGCCCGTTATGTAGCAATGAGATATTAGTGTTCGTATCAGGGCATGTGTATGCCTACATCAACTGTTTTGGTGGTGAGATGGCTCTGATCCTTGTTAGTACGGATATCAAAAGCCTTTTCGGAAGCGGGTTGATACCACGCTGTCGCGAGGCTGGAAAATACCAAAATTTGGGCGTAGTTTAATACTCGCGCCTTGGAGTGTGTTCGGGGTTCAGGGGCACTGTAGGCCAGACGGCACAGGGAAACTATATTGTAGCTTTTTCCCGCGAAAATTCCACTCGCGCGAGAATTTGAATAAATCTTTATACTGTCTTACGCCGGCGAGCGACTTCACGTCGTTGAGCAAGACGTGATGCCTCTGCGTGTCCTTGCAATTGCTCCTTTCTGTACCATTGGTTATAAGGAGGTGGGATGATTTGTCATGCACACTATAATTGCTGGACTTGGATGGTGGGGGTATAATACATTCAAGAAATATTTTGAATTGGAATTAATGCATAGCTATACTTTTACGACGGGCGGAGCTGAACCCATAATAGACACAGCTTGTTCATGTCACTGTTAAACTAGCATGCCATCTCATTTTTTTATTTACCCTGGCTACCTAGGAGAGTTGTATTATATGGAATTTTTCTGACGCAACATCACTACAGCCCGGCTAATACAGCCGGAGGCAGCTGAACGAACAAGGCAGTAGATCGATGTCTCAGCTGAAAGGAAACTTCAGCTGGGGTCCAAGCGCATGGTACATAAGCACCGTTCTATATATTTGCGAAATAATTAAAGCCAGAACTCCCTGTCTCCACTAACCTAGCCTAGCTGACAATGCGCGCTGTTCACAAACATGCATTGAAGTGGGGACAGAACTTAGCACATTGGTCACTGCTGTGAAATTCCGCAATCAGGACCGTGACAGTTAGTGGGTGATCTGATATGGGACAGACCAATTAGGTATGTTGTGCTATATAAGCTTACCCACATTTGTATCCTGCTTACGCACCATTTTCGCATGCGAGCAGCTACATATACTTGCGGGTAGTAGAGGCTGACTTTAGCAGCGAACTTAGCTATGCCTTGTGCATCTAGAAGATCATACCTTGGTCAGTAGTTCCAGAATTTTGACTGTTAAATATTAGGTACATTTGCGATCGACCGTATGATGACGTGTCATCGGTTTCAAACCCCCAAGTCTGATGTTGTTGCATTGAGCGATATTTAAATACTGCATACATTCTGTATGGAGTGCCTCATACATGTTATTGAATATCAGGGCAAAAAGGATTTGAAACCACACCATGAGGAAACTAACCGTTTTACTTCACTGTATTTGTACGGCCTCAGCCTAGTGTATTATCTATTATAACAAGTGCTAACAAATCTCCAGTTGCTGGCACAATTCTGCCGTGTCCAGGCCTCGCATTAAAGGCCGATATAAGGGCCGACAGTAATCGGGATGGTACAGTGGACGTTGAGAACAATTCTGACCTTCCCCATAAGATGGATTGGACGGATAGAGCTGGGGCGATCTTTTTGGCGAACATAGGTGATACAGATCGCCGCTGCTCTAAACATACTCAAGATATATCGGATGATGCAATCGCCGCATGCAACGACGCCTCCGACGATATAATTCGGCAAATGCAATACATGGCAACTTTGAAGACCATTGGGATCCCAAATGCCACCAATGACACTTGGGGAACGGTCGGGGTCCATGATGAGACTGCTCGGAAATATGTCCGCCTCTTTCGTTGGGACAGCAAAAAGAAATGGGTGATTACGACAAATGATGACCGATTTTCAGCCAAGGAGTTACAGGACGGCCTGGAGCTTAAAATGGATGCTCGGGATACACGACGGCCTGGGTGCTGGGATGGAAGAGCGGAGGTCGTATTTTATGTTCAGAATAATAATATGTCAAGCCAGGATGCTGTTCGCCTTCGTGTTGCGCCAGTTCTGACACACCACACCCTACAGCCGGTGAAAGAATTTCTTACTACTGCTGGAAATAAATCGACCCCTCAGGAGTCATTTGTGCAGGATTTCCAAAAGGCGATCGATGACAGTGGTATTAGAAAACCTCTATATCAGTTTAACCCGAGCGCAGATCCCTGGGCGCAAGACTTCCTCGAGCCTGCATACACTACTATGCCAGGCCCAAACAACACGTTAATAACACTGCAAGTCATGATCCGCTCTTCTCAGGGCTCCCGCCCTGCGGGGAGGATGGTTTTCACGGACCTACGAAAAACCGGACGAGGCGCTGTCTATAGCACCGGCGGCACTAGAGATGAGATTGAATCAACTGGCAATCTTGAAACAATCCCACCATACATACATGGCAACAAGAGTTACCCAGCTGGCCGGGTGATTGAAGGTTCTCACAAGGCTTTTGGAAAAGAATACCCACCTCATATTTATGATTATATGCGAGCTCAAGAGCTTCAAGACCCTCTTATAATTGACGTGGACTGGTTGACCGTTGGCCATGTTGATGAGATTGTACAGTTCCTACCAGCAAATACATCTCGTGGTTGGGCCATTCTGGTTGCAGACCCAGAGCAAGGAGTCAAAATATTGCAGAATGTGAGCGGAGATACTCCTGCGTTTTCCCGGAAACAAAATGCACCAAATATTACTATATCGGAGTTGCTTAATAATGGGACTATAGTTGAGCAGAATAAGAAGTATGCGAAGAAACTAGAGAACCTAAAAAAAATCCTACGGGATGAAACAGGTGTCACTGAATTCTATGGGGTGCCTAGTGTTTTTCGTACAGGAATCTGTCTGCCTCCATATGCTGGATCACCCCCCGAACGAAACTGCAGCTTAAATTATGCCGGAGCTCTATATCCTGGAGTGATTAATGGTCTGGCTCTAAGCAAGTCTACATATTTGGCTCCGAAACCATGGGGACCCATTGTCAACAACACAGATGTATTTGAGCGGGCTACGCGTGATATCTATAGCAAGATTGGGTTTGAAAAGGTTTTATTCATTGACGATTGGGACTCGCACCACCGAGACGGGGGGGAAGTACACTGCGGGACAAATTCGATCCGCGAGCCAGCAAAGTGGTGGGATTAAACAGTTGGCAATGGATTAGCCCTTGAACGCGAGCATACTTTCAAGTTTCAATCTTCAGGAAAGGATAGGTTAATATGCTAGTTCTAGTTTGCATTAATTGGTCCTTCTGTGCGTTGTTAAAGCCAGCTGTAATGCGTTATATGCAGAAATACATGATGCAGAGTGGATACGAATAAGTATAGAAATTACCATGTCTGAAACCTTCTAGGGCTCAAGCATCCGTCACCAGTGTTTAAGGGGATTTATGAACTCATGTTAGGGGTTTTATGATTCTTAGGAACGTTTGTGTCGCTGTTATGATCATTCGATCAGGGGAAAGGACGGGTGGCAGTAGAACACTATACCAGCTACACGCCGTAGCCTATTAGGGACTTGGAGAATAACAATATCAACTGCATTGACTGTGCGGTCAACGCGCTCACCAACGTGCTCTATCCTTAACTCCTATTTAAAGTGATAATGATCTGCATCTTAGGTGGCTGCCTAATGTGTGTGCGGGGTTCACACCCCCGAGTACTTAACCCCTTTCCTGTATTCTAGAGGGAGCGTGAGTCAGCCATCTAAGGAAGTATGGTAGTGAGTGTGGTCTAGGATATCAATACATCGCTCCCTATATTAAGCAACTGGTTGCGTGCAGCTGTTCGATGAGCTTACTGCCTTCTTCCCTCCTGAGTCATATCAGGTACAAATGACTTGTCTAGGGCACAGCGAAATGCGTGGAGCTGCCAAGATTCAAATCATGGATCCATCCCGCCCCTTTCCGGCCGTAAACATGGAATTGGTTGTTGTTTATAATTCTGCTTATACATATAGTCTGCGCTTACATCCATGCCTAGACGCAAGCGGTCCGTCATTGAACCTGTTCCTGACGGTTACCAATATTGCTCTCGCTGTAAAACAATCCGTGAGGTCCTTGACTTTTCACGCGTTGCTCCTTCAGGGGCGCAAGCTTCTAAACAGTTCGCAACATGCTTAACTTGCCGTGTAAGTTGTCTACCAGCTTTAAGACCTTTCTAACACTTTTACCGTTCTCGACTTCGCAAACACCGTTCGGTTGCTCCAACAGCTTCACGCCCAGCTTTAGCCCAGTATCCCCTACTACCTCCGTTGCTCCTGCGGCCTCTGAGTTGCCTCCTCCTAATCTACGGTCCGAAAAAGCGTCAGCTGCTCTTCCTAGGCCTCGCCGCCATCGTGTTGCCACTAAAGGCTTCCAGCACTGCTCGCGTTGCGGCTGCTCTAAGGATATACAGGAGTTCTCGTGGGCTGTGCCGAACTGGAATGCTACCGGCGTAGACTGCGGCATATCCGCGGATACCAGATAGCAAATAATATCCATATCGTATCCACACGGATACCAGATACCTGAGATGATATCTTTATCTGCATCCAAATCCACACGGATACGATGCGGATATCTTGTTTCTGTCCGCACTAGTATAATTTTCGCCAAATTAACCTAATCTAGCCTACCGCATAATGTATAACTTGCTGAATAAGATCAGTAAGTAATGGTTAGTTATGCCTGTTCTGATCGTAACAGTGCCATACAGAACCTTTGCGCAACACTCTCCATAATACTATATAGAATATTCATGTATATAAATATCGTCACTACTAACATTAATAATCTACTTAAGTTTCAAAGGGAAGTAGTGGTGGTGGCTTATAAATTATAAATTAATGTTTACTCCTTGATAGTGTGTGAAAAAAATATATATTTACTACTACATAATAAATATCACGGTTTCATGGCTAGTCTCTCTGGCCTTGCTGGCCCTGTTAGCCCTATCAGCCCTGTTAAATCAACTGTTTCTCTTCGTTCTAGCTGGTTTCTCTAACTGATATTTCTCATTGCTCGATAACAGTGTACGGATCTGGTTGATAGCCTGATTCTGTGCTCTGAATATACGGACTTTGTTGTTTTTCTGTTGAGATTCTGGATATCTGTGGATATCAAGAGGATATCCACAGATATCCGCGGATTGTTATATAATAACCAATAGATATCCGCACTAGCACCACTTATAAACCAATCATAACAAAAGACGGTTTAAGATAATAGATCTATCTACTTTAATGTGTACGCCCCTATACCCCTTAATTATAAAATCTGTATTCCAGATTTTTACTCTAAAAATTTTGTAAGTCTCTTATCTTTTTCTCTTTACAATAATATTCTTACCTTCAAGATGTCGCAGAGTCAACAATCTCAGTTTTCCGATTCTTTCTATAAACCTAACTTCCTACAATCAGATAATACACAGCATATCCTAGGTAGCCAGCAAACTATTATTTCCACATCTAACTCAGACTTTATTTTTCCACCACCACGACCACGCGCCCCTATTACCCTCACACGTGTTGGGCCTAGTTTTCGGAAGAACTGGGTTCTTTACACTGATATGTCAAAGGATGACTTTGTAAGATAGTGGTTAGAAACAGACTTTGGGTTAAAAAAAGAGTTGCAGGATACAATACATTGGGATGGAAAAAAAAGCTTATCATACTGGGAGCAATTTAATCAGGTTGCAGATGAGAAGACTGGCCAGCCTAAGGTTATGTGTAAACACTGCTGCAATGTCCTTGTTCACCCGGGTCATTACCGAGCAGGGTTATCCCCAATGAAAGCACACCTTAAAGGAGCTGCCTGTCAGCGTACAGCACCCAAGCAGCAGAAAGGTATAGACCAGCTTATTAGGACTTGGTTAGTATAAGACCCTAATATAATTATAAGTATATTTAATTACTCTTGTTTAGCCTAGCCATCTCCTAAAAGACAATACAGTCAAGACCTCTTTATGGATAAGCTACTTAATATGGTTGCTCTTGGGCGTCTTCCCTTTCGGTTTAGTGAGCATCGCGAGCTTGATGAATTCATTAATATTGTACGACTTGCGCCATCAAAGCCAAAGCTTCCATCCGGCAAAACCCTTCGACGCTATCTACAGAAAAAAGTCAAAGAAAAACAAGAAACTCTACTCCAAAAGCTTTCACCAAGTGGAAAGCTTTTAATTGCACTGGACTGCTGGACATCCCCTTTTAACCAGGCATTTATGGCGATTACTGGTTACTTCCTTGATCAAGGGTGGAACTATCGTGAGATCCTTCTTGGGTTTGAGCCTCTTCACGGCACACATAATGGGAGTAATCTAAGCTTAGTGCTCTTTGAAATTCTTCAGGCATATGGTATTACTAACCGTGTATTATTAATTACTACCGATAATACCTTAAACAATAATACTATGATGACAAGAATCCAGGAGTCAATTCAGTCACAGGATTTTAGTAGTGATACTACTGTTATCCGAATTCCATGCATTGCCCATGTTATTCAGCTTAGTTTAAACCAGTTGCTTGGAAAGATAAAAGCGAACCCAGCTAATAATACTATGGAAAAAGAATGGTCTGATGTATGTACTGACTCTCTCCAGAAAAGAGGTAATTTAAGAAAGATTGTGGATACATTAAATAAGGTAAAATATATTATTATATTATACTTTTATCTTTACTAATAGATTTAAAGATTCGAAGTCTTGCAATTTTTATTAATGCAAGCCCACAGCGTAAAGAGGCATTCCTGAGTCTTTAGACTAAAGATCCAAAGCTTGTTCCTCACCAGGATATCCGCACTCGCTGGAATTCCACATTCTTGATGCTTCGCCGTGCCAAGCAACTACAGTCTGTGTTTAACAAATACTGTACAATGCATCAATATCTCCAGTTTAAGCTTGACGAGGAAGAATGGCGCCAAATTAAGTATCTGCTTTAGATTACTCAACCCTTTTTTAAATACACCACTGCTCTCTCTACAACAAAGGAAGTCACTATTCATCTTATCTTTGGTATCTATAATAATCTCTTTAACCACCTCGAGAAGTTAATTCGCCAACTTCAACATAAAAAGGTCTTATAGAAAAAGACAATGCTTCATGCACTAGAAGCAGCAAAAGACAAGCTCTCTAGTTATTACAAAGAGACTAATAAGATATATAGCGATATCTTTGTAATTAGCACCATTATTGCTCCTTCAAACAAGCTTTAATTCTTTTCCACAAAGGAATGGGAGGGTGGGTGGCGTGAAAGATATCGTAAAAGCCTTGCAGACTACCTTAAGCGATATACCAAGCAGCTTTCTTCTTTACCAACACCACCTAATCCCCAGTCACTATCTGGAAACCTCTCTCGGATTAAAATACTAGTTTCGAGTAGGGCTTCACAGCAGGGAATTGGGTCTAGCCATTCTGGATTAAATATAAACAATGATGAGCTTACAAATTATCTTAAGAGTGGTTAGTACTGGTTAATAGCTATATAAGATTTACTGCTAATATTAATAATAGGCATAGTTAATACATCTCCGAGAGCCTTCTGGAAAGAGCATGAACGTGAATTCCCAGCGTTATCTAGTCTTGCTCGGGATGTTCTTGCTATCCCAGCTAGTGGTGCTGGTGTTGAGCGCCTTTTTAACTCAGCTCGTGATATCTGCCACTACCGCCGCGGTCACCTCAAATCTAGTACAATCAAAGACTTGATGATGTGGATGTGTACATCAAAGTTTGAGCTTGAACAAGAGCAGTTAGATCTAATGGAAGAGTATCTCTTAGCTAGTGAGGTCGCTGCTACAGAGGAGGAAAGAGCCCCTTCACAGCTACAGACTGATTTTCAGCCGGTTAGTGATGATGAGGAGGAGGATGATTCTGATAATATTTAGACTAAAACTCAAGGCCCTCCAAGTAAGCGGCAATGTACGGCTGCTAGGGAAGGGGGCCAAAGAGAAGAACAGCTAGTAGAGCAGTCTCATAAGTTAGATAATAAGACTGAACACCCGTTGCCCGAGAATAACACACTGGCGCGGGGTTCTAAGAGGGTTCGTAAGGCTCCAAGAGGGTTCGAGGATTATGAAATTAGTAAACTATAGTTATATAGCTTAATAAAAAACTTCCAAGAAGTATCTCCTGCTTTGTCCCATGGTCTATATCTAATATCCACAAGGCGACTTCCATACATATTAAAACAATAAATTACAGACAAAACACGCATAAATTATGCAGTCATGGAATTGGCCATGTTTGCATTGTTTGCCTATCCATAAAGAATCCAAATCCAAACTGCGGATACCATTTACTATCCATATCGTATCGTTGCGGATATGTGGATAACAAATTACGTCCAAATCCGCGGATATGCGGATTTGGATATGCGGATTTGGATATGTCGCGGATGTTGCCCCAGCCTATACCGGCGCAAGCTACAGTCGCTGTTTTAACTGTCGTGTTTGTTTACCCCTATGTTTTGCAGTCCTTTCTAAATTTAGCTTTAGTTAAATAAGTATCGTTTTTCTAACCCTGTACCCCAACAGGTAGTCCCTCCTGCAAACCGTGTTAAAGACGACCCCGACAAGCCGCAAGATAACCTTAATAATAACCCGGCCATCGTACGGGGCTTGCATGGTCCTCTACCGCTTGGCTACCGATCTCAGATATATTATATAAGACCGTTGGATTTGGGCCGCATGGATCTAGAGTGTCCATATTGCAAAGCTTTACACTGGAATGGTAAACAAGAAAATGGTTCTACACTCTGCAATCCTGTTTTTACAAAGTATTGCCTTCGTGGTGAAGTGCAACCTCCTCCTGTCTGTGAGCCACTATATAAATTAAGCTGCTTATATACTAAAAACACCCCTGAGGCCCGGGGATTTCGCTGTAATATTCACTATTATAATGGCGCGCTGTGTTTTACATCTATAAATATGAAATCTGACAGCCATACCGCTGGCTAACACGGTCCGGTTTAAATACAGGGCCAATTAATACATTTGCAAGGACCATTACTTGCTAATAAAGGTGAGAAGCCGAAGTACGCTTAGCTGTGGTTCCACGACCCGGGAGCTGCGAATATTGCTCGCTGTGCTTCAGATAAGGTCCTTAATAAATCTATTCTGCAGAAGTTGGACGGTATTCTACACTATGTAAGTCCCTTTATTAATATATATAAGACCGCATGGGAACAGTTGGAGGCAGCCACGGTCGGTTGGACACCTGTACCGTACTTCACCGCCCAACGATCGGAACCCCCAAACGATCGATTTTGTAGTACTAGAAGAGGCAACAAATGAAGCAATTCAGCCACACACAAATAAAATTATCTAACGAGTGTCTGATGGAGTATAGTGTAGATACAAATAAAAATATCCACCCTTTTTAGAGCTCCCAAAACCTTTGTGGGAGGCAGATTTGCCTGCCTAAGTGTATAGATGTAGTTAGGACCCCCTCAGCAACTTCAGGAGCTGGAGGGCCACCAACTGTAGTATTTTAAGTTGTAGAGGACTTGGAGGCCTTTTTCTTAGTGGTTTTGGTATTTTGGATGTTTTTTTGAAGTTATTTAGCTGCCTTTTTAGCTATATAATCCTTTTTTTTCTATTACTTTTTTTACTTTGCCTTTAGTAGTTTTAATTCCTTCTTTGCAGCCTTTGTTCTTTTTCTTTCTTCAAGTAAGTGCTGCTTGTTTTCCTTTTTTTATTAACAGCGGATCTTCCTCTCCTTTTTTAAAGCCTTAGCAAGCTGTATAGCTTTCTCCTTTTTATTATAAAGCTGGAGAGCTTGCTGTATTTTCTTAGGTAAATAAAAGATTGCACCACTATGTTTAGGTGCTTGTAATTAAAACTATAATAGCTTTTAACACTGCCTCCTTTTCTTCTTATTAGTAAAAGCTATCTCTAAGCCTTCACAACATAGTTTAAGCAAAGTATTTTAAATAGCAAGCTTATAAAAAGTTGCACCCAGCTTCTTGGTATTTTAATTATAGATATCAGCAACCACCTTCTTTAGAAGCCTTTTAATCCTTCTCCAGTTATCTGCTTGTAATACTGAAGCTGCAGAGCCACTTAATAAAGGCCTCTAGCTCTCCTTTTTACTGAAGCGCTTTAAAACAATTTCTGGATCCTATAAAGCTATCCCAGTAGCTTTCTATAAAGAATCAATATTCTTCTTTGTTAAGGCCTTCTCCCAGCTCTGCTAGAATAGCCTGAAAAGTCCCTTTTCATAATATAGCTTAGGCCTTAACTATTATAAAGAAATTGCTCCAAACTGTTGCTATAGGCTGTTAAAAGTGGTAAAAAGATCCCAATATCTAATAGCTACAGCAAATAAGTTAAATAAGGCGGATAGGTTATTAAATAAATCCTATTTACTATATAAAACTTAATAAAAGTTCTGGTAAGGTGTGAGCTATGGCTATCTAAAATTAAAAGCCTTTAACTTTTTCCAGCCTTCTCCTTTGTCTCCCTATTAAAAATATCTCGAAGCCATGCAAATCCCACCTTATTATTAGTCTAGCCAGTTAGTAAGGCTCTAAAGAAGCAAGGATGTTCAGTTGGATCAAAGTCTTAAAGCCAGGTATTTTGTATCTTGCTGGAGGCAGCTTGGTAGATAAGACCTGGAGATAATAAGGTCCCATCTGCACAAATACAAGTAATTAAGGTTCTCTATTTATAATTCCTATCCTAAAGCCGTTGCTGAATGCCATCCTTCTCGAATTGCTGCTTGGAGAAGATCCTTTTAGCTTTTAAAAAAATACTAATAAAAAAACCTTTTTTATTTATATTGTAGATATTCTCCTTCTAGATATTATATTTATTAATTTTCTAGGCTAGTAACTTAAAATATAAAAGTATATTTTAAAGGCTAAATCAGCCTTTTTTTTTAAAGAGTCCATACTAGTTATATAGCGAGAGATAAGGTCCTCCTAGTGTCTCTTTATAAAAAGCAGGTTGCCTAGTTTTTTCCTGGTGGCTTTTTTACTATTTCCTCTGACAAAATTCCTTATTATTAAAGCAGAGACATATAAGCCTTTACTAGAGAGCCTATTAATCCATCTAACTAGCGATTTTTCTTGTTGGTGGGTGAGAATTGCTGTTCTTGTGATAGTCCTTTTTAAAGCCTTAAAGCCCTTTATAATACCTTAACAGGGTTACTCGGTGCACACCATGCTTTTTCGCAAAAAAAGTATAGTTAGGAACTTCTCCTGGCTCTAATAATTTTAAATTTTCTAACACTAATTTAATTAATCCCATATTAACAGAGTTATCATGGTTTAAAATCTACGAAACAAAAAGTCGGTGTATACAAAAATCAATTGTTTGGTGGTTCCAATCGTTGGGCGGTGAAGTACGGTACAGGTGCTCCTCGCGCCCTCTGCATCTTAAAGTCCTAGAGGGCAATAATTGCCGTCGGTATAATCTTCCAACCGCTGGCGAGGTTACTGCAGTCTTTCCCCGGCCCGATTTGGGCCCAGAAGACAATACTTTAAACTTTCGGGATGTTGTGTTGCGCCTTCGGCGGTCCGAAGTAGGCTTAGGACTAACTAAAATTAACCCTGCTCACTCTGCTTACATCCCGCTGCAGTATCCGTTGCTTTTCCCTACGGTGATGGTGGTTGGCAGTGGGGTCTGCAGCTGCAGAATATAGGCTGTCAGCGCCAAAATAAGCATCTTTTAGCCAGGCTTTTTATTCGTATCGTCTTTTCACCCGTACCAACCTGTTTAGCTCATGGCTGTGTGCGGGCCGGCTCTGGCAGCAGTATTTAGTTGACGCCTGGGCTACGATCGAGCAGTCCAATCTAGATTGGATTACAAGGCACCAGGATGATATACGGGCCGATTTATACACTGGACTTGCTGACGCGCTTGCCCATAGCGTCAGGCAGACTTCAAGCCGCCGAGCGAAGCGAGGGATTAAGGCTTGTATGATAATATACCGTACTTCACCGCCTAACGATCAGAACCACCAAACGATCGATTTTTGTATACACCGACTTTTCGTTTTGTAAATTTTAAACCATGATAACTCTGTTAATATGGGGTTAATTAAATCAGTGTTAGAATTTAAAATTATTAGAGCTAGGAGAAGTTCCTAATTATACTTTTTTTGCAAAAAAGCATGGTGTGCACCGAGTAACCCTGTTAAGGTATTATAAAGGGCTTTAAGGCTTTATTATTATTATTATTTTATTATTATTATTATTCTTCCATATTATAGAGCATTTTTCAGTCAGAGACTATGCATGCTCTACCTACCACCCCTGGGTGGTAGGATTTAAACTAACAAACAGATACGTACATAGTGGGTAAAATCAAACATAACTAAGCAATATGACATTCTAGGGGTGGGGGGGACCTTAAAGAAGGAGTTGAAACATGCTAATTTCCACTGTTTTTATTTTTATTTTTGCTTTTTCTTTTTGTTTTCCCTAGGGATCCAAGAGCCACTTTCTAGTGGCGATCCCGGTTTCCTTTAGGAATTTGATCAGTTGTTCTTGCCCTGCTTTCTTCGTGAAAAGATAAGGCAAATTTCGGTCTTTTTTGTCTAGGGTCTCTATAGACCCTTTTCTGATGTCCCTGGTTGCCGGGCACTGGAGGAGTAGGTGGTATGGAGTTTGACATTTATTACTGTGGCATGACGTGCATATATCACTATTATAGTTAGGTGTTCTAACTAAATATGATCTGAAGTAGCCATGCCCTAGCTTTAATTGATAATGGTTGACCAGGTCTGCTTGGGAAGCCTTAGGGGCTTGGCTTCCATGAAGCTATGGAATTAAAGCCCCTGTATTAATCACTTTTCTTAGCATTTTCCCATGCTTTATCCCAATCCTCAAGGCACTTTGCTTTGAGCTCTCGTTTGAGATGGCTAACTGAAATGGGGCATTTAT